AAAACTCCCCCTTCCCTCGCGTTGTGCCCCTCGCTTGTGAATTCTCACACAGAGCCTGAAAGCCCTTCTCCTGTGTGCCTTTTAACTCGTTACTCAGCCTCCTCACCCGTTTGTAATTACAGAGCTGCGTTCCCAAGCTGGATCGAACGCTTTCCTCCCCCCGCCACCGTCTGCCTTGCGCTCTCTGGTTTGATGTAGTCATTTCGGCCAGTATTAAAGTGTCAGGATCAATATACATCAGTGTAAACAAAGGGGAGTTACGCTAACATATTTATCCAATTTTCTTTCCTCTCCTGTCCCAGCATCAGGGAATATAAAACTCCTCTCTCCTGCGCTTTCTCCTACAGCAGCTGACGGCAGTCAGATTTTCTGCTTCCCTTCCCCACCATACTTTGTGGCGAGATTTTAACGTCCAAATTACAGTAATTACAGCTCATTCAATTAAGTGAGAGTTTTAGTGCTGCCGTAGCAAAAAGAAGGGAACCTGAAAGTGGGGGAGGGGGAAATTGCATTTAACCCAAGCAGCACATTTTTTTTCTGTTGGTCCCTGGTTTCTCCTTGGTGATTTTTTGCTAGCTGATTTCTTTTCTCTGTCCCGATCTATATATTGAAGTGTGGTTTCAGCATGGCATTACAATGGGATCATAGAAATGTCCGGCTGGAAGGGACTGTTGGAGGTCATCTAGTCTAACCCCCTGCACGAGGCAGGTTTGTTCCTGTTCAAACCATCCCGTGCAAGCGCTCATCTAAGCTGTTCCTAAAAACTACGCAACATCCAGCCGTACGACTACAAGACGCATTGCGCCAAGACCACCTAACCTTTCACAGGTAAAGCAGGGGACGTGGACTCGAGGATGCCAGCTGAGTGAACCTCTGGTGAGTGTAGGATGTCCGTTCTGCTTGAGTCTGGAGGTGGTGCCATTCTTAGGGGGATGCTCCATATCTACGTGCTGCAGATTGGTGACCCATCAGTATCTTTGCGGTACGTTTGAGGCCATTCTGTCTTCGTGGCTGCAGGGGAAGCTCAGTGCCCTCTTCTCAAGCTGCAGTCCTCCACTGCTTGGCCTCTGAGGATCTCCATATCTGCATAGCAAACCCCGCACCCCTGCTTTGTACTGCTAAACCCCAGAAAGAAGGCTTTCGAATAATGCTGAGGGTATGTTGTCCAGCACATGTGCTCTAGGCACTCGGCACCGTTTCAAAGCTGCTATCTGGCCTCAATTTGGGGGGGACTGGTGTGGAAGTGAGGGGGATGGGGCATCTTTCACACCATGCCCAGGAGAACCATTGGGTAAGCAGAGCGTATTTGCGCACAGTGACGTTGATGTGAACATTTCGGAGACAGCTTATAGTCATTCACACTTGTCTTAGCAGTTTCTTCCTCCTTGAGTGGCCCCCAACATAGTGATCCCTCCATCTGCCAAATCCATTTGCTTCTCAGTTGTCTGCTGGTGTTATCTTATATAGCACTGCTATTTGGGGCAAAAATAGGAGAGGAATCCTTTATCTCTCTGAAACGTCACCGGGGTAGAATTTGCTGAAGGTGCAAAAAGTACCAGGGGATCTGTGATGACTGCAAGTGACTGACTGTTTTTTATCTGTTAGTGGATTTAATTACCTGTATTGATGTTCCAGATGGTAGAAATGGCTCATTACTGCCAGCAGAAAGGGGAGGGATGGGAGACAGTCTCGCTCTGTTTTGATGTGGGATCTATGAAGTTGTTTATGCATGCTGTGGTTTTTTCACTTGTTGGATGAAATCTTTCAAGGATGATATTCTCCGCCACTCTTAACACGTTCTTCTCTTCCGTACGTTTGACCTTATCAGGGGCATGATTCGATAATGCCTGCTTTGATTTCTTGCCGTCTCAGAGTATTTTGCATTGAGGTGAAACAGGACTAGAAAATAGTCACGGAAATCAAAACTGGGTCGAACGTGTGTGTCTGCTTCATCTTCTTAGGGATAGTTCCTTTTTTTTGTGGCTATTTAGACATCAAAATCTTAGTCTAGAAATTTGCTGACAGTTCATATATAAACCAAGGTAATGCTCTGGGATGCCTCACATCTCTCAAATAAGATATGCACCTTGTTTTGGAAAGGTAGAGTGAAGAAAACAGTTTTCCTGTGAACCAAGCGGGTCAGAATCGGTTTCTTTTTTTTAAGATCCACAGCCTGATTTTTCAGTTGCTAAATTTTCAGGGGAAAAGCAGAGCGTGGTACGTGCATCAAATAAGGTTGTTTTCAGAGCTACCGTCTTGCATTAATATCTGTTTCAACTGTTGCTCAGAAAACTGCCATGCGCGGTTCCTACGTGGTGCATCAGTTGGTGATGCTTTCTGAATGGTACCGACTGGACTGACGTAATGATATCCTATTTTAAAAGTGGGGAGACTTACTTACCCCCCCAGTGGAACCAGTGATGCTTTTGTGTGCTCTTTTGCAAAAGTGCATTTAAACTGGTGCAAAGGAAGGCAACCAAGAATATCAGGTCTGCCCTAGTAGGAGAGATTAAAAGGGTCGGGACTTTTCAGTTTGGGAAGGAGAAGGCTGAGGGAGCATAGGACAGAGGTCTATACAGTCATGAAGTGCGTGGAGCAAGTGAATAGGGACCTGCTATTCCCCAAATCCCAGACTATTTCAGTAGGGCTCCCTAGTTCTAATAAACAGGAGGCTTAACAAGAGAAAGGTGGAATCTCCGTCCTTGGAGGTTTTAACGCTCAGCTAGACGAAGCCTTGGCTGGGATGATGTAGTTGGGGCTGGTCCTGCTTGGAGCAGGGGGCTGGACTAGATGTGACCTCCTGAGGTCCCTTCACCCCTCCTTGTCTGTGATTCTATGAAAGGATGTTTTATAGGTAGCACACTGTTAATATGTGGAACTCTTTACCACTGGAGGCAGTAGAGGCAGGGTAGTCTGGTCAGATTCAGAAAGGGGATAGGCAGATCCATGGAGGACAGGTTATTAATGGCTGTTAGAACAGGAAGGGATACATCCTCTGGCATCTCTAAATTGATGATGGGTTGATGCTAGAGAAGGGTGTGGCAGGAGATTTCATAGCTTTCATAGACATTAGGGCTGGAAGAGACCTCGGAAGATCATCGAGTCCAGCCCCCTGCCCAAAGGGCAGGAAGTCAGCTGGGGTCATAGGATCCCAGCAAGATGAGCATCCAGTTTGCTCTTGAAGGTGTTCAATGAAGGTGCTTGAACCACCTCCGGTGGCAGGCTGTTCCAGACCTTGGGGGCTCGGACAGTAAAGAAATTCTTCCTTATGTCCAGCCTGAAACGATCTTGAAGTAGTTTGTGACCATTCGACCTCATCATCCCTTGGGGC